TAATAGCACGAGGTAGATGTTGTTTCGGCCTACTCAATAATGTGGTCAAAGAAAAAAAATCAAGTATTACAATGTAGTTCAATTCCCTTCCTCCACCACAGGATTGTGAGATCAATCAAACCACCCTCCTCTAGGGCCAGGACATTCGGTGGATCAGACCGCACCATTGGCATACTAGGGGACTAGTACTTCATTAATAAAGTTATTTTGTCAGTGGCTCTTCTGGAACCGCTATGGGGGGGTAAAGGGTTAATTATTTACACACCAGATTTAACTTACCTAATATCATTTGTCTAATATCTTCCGATTGTTGAACATAGAGTTGAGTTACACATTCAACTGTGCGAAGTGGATCGATTCGAGATTCGATCGGAATGTGTGGACATTGTTCATAAACATAATTCATAATTTTTTGGTTATCATTTAACATTTGTTGACAAGAATATTCGGATTGTTGCAAGCGTAAACATAAATCATCAACTTTTGATACACCAAAGGATGATAGTTGATCATTAGTCGATTTCAATATTTCTATATAAGAATCATCAGCAATATGACCTGCAATAATATAAAATTAATAAAAGCATCAATTTAATAAAGAAGGAAATATTAGGATAGAAAAAAAAACCTGTCACTTTTTCGTACCAGTGATTGTTTCTAATTTTTGTTTAAAATCAATCAAATGTTGAATATTTTTCATTAAATCAACATTATTTTCTACTTCACCCATTTTATGTTGACATTCATCTAAGAATTTTATTAACACTTGTTCTCGTTCTTTACTCATGTCATTCATTTGTTTTAAAGTTTCAATTTGATTTAATATCATATCGTATGATGTTACTGTCTCAGACGTTTGATCAAACAATATTTTGCATTTTTCCATAAATTCACTCTTATTTTTCTCTTGATTTTTTAATTCTTGAATTTTTCCTAAAATATCTTCCGATTGCAGAGAATAGTCAGATGTAAATAGTTGTTGACATTGACTAAAAAATTGATCATTTTGAGTTTGTCGTTCTTGTGAATCGTTTAACTGTTGAACAAGATATTGTTGTTGTTGTTGTTCTAGTTGAATTAAATATTGTTCTAATGTATCAATATTATTACAGTTATAAGAACGAAGTAACGAATCAATTTTTTGTTGATGATACATAATTTGATTTAATTTTGAAAATAAATTATCAAATGTTAGATCAGATTCTCTAAATAAGTTGGAACAATCTTGAAGAAATTGATTCGAACGCGATAGAACTAAAATGAGAAGAAAAATATGTTTGTATTAGATAAAACTAATTGTTAACTCTTACTTAAATTTTGTGTATTAAATTTTGTGAATAAATTTGTTTCTAACGTATCGATCGTTAAATTTTCTTCATTCATACCAAAATTTTCATTCCATCTACTAAGACAATAATCTAATTTCTGTTGATTTGAAATAATTGTATTCAAATTTTTTAGTAAAGTTTCAAATGATTGTTCACCATAATTTGTTATTAGATAATTATATTCATTTAATTTTCGAAATGTATCATCAATATTTCCAAGTTGTTGATGTTGAATGAATAATTCATAAATTTTTAAAAATAAATTAGTCAAAGTCAATTGTTCTGATGATATTTGAAATAAATCATTTAATTTTTGAATAAATTCATTTTTTTCATTCGTATGAACTAGAAAATTTTAAAATGATAATTATATTGATATTGTTTTGTTTTGTTTTGTCCAGGATGAAAATAAGAAGAAAAAAACTGAAGAAAGAAGTTCAGTATCACAGAAGATAGTTTCATGGTACCAAGAGATTGAATTCGAACTATTTTTAAAATATTGAATGTCTAACTATTTCTGTATACCATCGACATACACAACATATTCCCTTTTGTACACAGAGATATCTATGATATTTATCATTTTTTTCTCTTATCTCTTATCGAACAGTGTCTGTCTCTTACAATGTTTTTGTTCTCGCTTTGTATTAATCTAGTTCAAATGATTAAATGATCTGTGATGATGTGTTTTTCTGTAGATGAGAATAAGTTAGTATGATCGATACCATTTTTTTATCATCACATAAAGGTATATTCATCATTTTGAATAATTAAAAAAAATGAAAAAGATAGTTGTATGGAAAAATCTTAGATTTCTTGTTTTGTATAGGCTTATTCAAATACAGTAACTGAGCAATAAATCTCATAATGAGGGTAATACATCTGAAGAAATCTTGTTAAAAATGTGTAAACTTGCTATACCATTTTAGTCTTTTGGTATATAGTGGCAAAGAGTTCGGTTCTGTTTTACTGGTACGCCGAGAATTGTCGCTCCATTTACAAGATGCTTGAAACTGACCATAACTTACTATGTGAGGATACGCATTTGTCAAAAAGTCTACGCATGAATGTGTTCTCCATATACGGTAAACGCGTTCTCTCATCGATAAAACTCATAGGTAATATGTGTGAATAATATATTTTGAGTTCAAAAAGCCGGTCGTATGTCGAAGCAAAAAGTAAGAAGTCGAAGAGTGTGAGATGAGAGTGAATCGCTTTTTTTAAAAAAGAAAAATGCATCGGTTCCTGCAAATAAGAAAATAGTTAAACATGGCGATCCTTTGATCGTCTTAACTTGTTATTCTGATAGCACGACAGATGAGCCTCGACAAATGAGCCTTCCGACATCTCAGCTCTTGACATTTGAGCTTCCAATATTTGAGTCCACCGATAAGTGAACCTTGAGCAAGAACAAAAAGAACAACGTCAAAAATTTATGTGATTGCAGCGTGTGTGTGTGATGATGGTAAAAAATATGGTCTTTAAAATTGTTTTGTCTCCATGAATCGACGAGGGTATATCAGACAAAAAATGTATTTGTCACATTCCATAATGTGAGAAATTACATCTTTTTTGACTATCTTTTTTTTATATCTTCGACTGATGTTGGTCTCGGAAATAATACGCCGTTTTTCGTTTCAAGATCCCGTTTCAAATCAAGATTCCTGGAAGCGTCGACGAAATATAGCTTTTTTGTTTTTTAAAAGTATACCCCGCCACCTCATTCTTGATTTTAGTGCAAACGTTAATCATTCGGACAGATATATTTATCAACAATTATACCTGATGTCTGGATTTTTTAATCGTAGCGAACTACATCATATAATGTCTGTCTTATTCTTTGGGTAAGCCGCACCTGTGAGAGGCTCATCTGTCTGTGCACCTGTTATTTTACCGATGTATGAGTCAAATTTTAGCTCGATCACGGATTTTAAAAAGCAGAAAAAAAGTCTAAAGATTAGAAATTTTTCTACAAAATTGAGAAGATCCGAGATCTTTGATGGCCAAGTTCTTTTGGCGATTACTTTTTGTTTTTTCGATTTCTATACATGGTTGGATAGAGCTCGTTGCGCTGAATCCGAATATGTATGATTTGACCGCAAACAAACAGTTTTTGTGATCAAAAACTCCAAAAACCTGCAAAA